TTATTTTTATTTTTTATTTCTATTTATGTTTATTATTATTATTTCTGTACATTTTATTTATTTTGATTGATTGTTTATTTATTTCATTGATTTTTATTTATATATTACTTCCTCATATAGAGGAAGTATTTATTTATTTGCTATTTGTATTCAATATTATTTACTAAATTATGTATTTTTATTATTTTATCCTTTTTTAATTATTATATTATTTTATTTATTATAATTAATTTCTTTTAATTTTAATTACTTTTTTCAATAATCAATCAACAAACAATCAATTGATTTCCAAAAAAATTTACATGAAAAAAATATTTATTTAGTTAATTTTGAATGTTTTTAATAATGTATTATTTATCGGTGTTTTTCAGCAATTACAGCATTCCTAAAACTTAAAGTAGAGAATGTTATTCTAAATAACTACTCCTATGGATGTGGGTGCATAACCGATTTAAAGCATAAGCTAATTGTAAATGTATCAAGTTACACTGCCAGAAATGACATCCCAGAAGGATCAAAAGTAACAGCACGTGGTTTACTCCGGAGCAATCTTAACAACCTAATTCTACAACTGTCTACTGTGGACGACATGACAATCGCGGGCGAGGAAATTGCCACTTCCAAAGACATGAAAAAAGGTTTTCTCTGCTTAAAAGTTGAAGAATTGAGTAATTCCTCAAACTCGCAGAGTACTCAACGACAAACTCCTCCGAGAGAGCATCAAAACAATCCAGATTCTGACATCCATAACGATTCATCTCCGAAATCTGTAAGTTTTATTTAAATTATAAAATTTTTTTATTTGTGTTTTTATTATTATTTTTTTAATTTTTATTTATTTTGATTGATTTTTTAAATTGATTGATTGATTGTTATTTATTTATATTTATATACTACTTTTTTGAATTTAATATTATTTACTTATTTTTTTTTTTTATTATTTTATATTAATTATTATTATATCATTTTATTTATTATAATTAATTTCTTTTAATTTTAATTAGTTTTTTGTTGTTTCTTTACTTCTTTATTAATTATTAAATTCATTGTTATTTTAATTTATTGTATTTCTTTTTTGTTACATCTTTATTTCTTATTTCTATTTATTTTTTAATTATTTGTTTTACTGTTAACTTATATATTTATATAATTAATAACTAATTTCTTTTCATTTTAATTAATTTTTTGTTGTTTTTTTACTTCTTTATTAAATTCATTGTTATTTTAATTGTTTATATTATTTATTATTATTTTAATTTATTGTATTTCTTTTTATTTTAATTTATTGTATTTCTTTTTTGTTACATCTTTATTTCTTATTTCTATTTATTTTTTAATTATTTGTTTTATTGTTAACTTATATATTTATATAATTAATAACTAATTTCTTTTCATTTTAATTAATTTTTTGTTGGTTTTTTACATCTTTATTAAATTCATTGTTATTTTAATTGTTTATATTATTTATTATTATTTTAATTTATTGTATTTCTTTTTATTTTAATTTATTGTATTTCTTTTTTGTTACATCTTTATTTCTTATTTCTATTTATTTTTTAATTATTTGTTTTATTGTTAACTTATATATTTATATAATTAATAACTAATTTCTTTTCATTTTAATTAATTTTTTGTTGTTTTTTTACTTCTTTATTAAATTCATTGTTATTTTAATTGTTTATATTATTTATTATTATTTTAATTTATTGTATTTCTTTTTATTTTAATTTATTGTATTTCTTTTTTGTTACATCTTTATTTCTTATTTCTATTTATTTTTTAATTATTTGTTTTATTTTTAACTTATATATTTATATAATTAATAACTAATTTCTTTTCATTTTAATTAATTTTTTGTTGTTTTTTTACTTCTTTATTAAATTCATTGTTATTTTAATTGTTTATATTATTTATTATTATTTTAATTTATTTAATTTATTGTATTTCTTTTTTGTTACATTTTTATTTTTTAATTACTTGTTTTATTGTTAACTTATATATTTATATCATTAATAATTAATTAATTTTATTTATTTTTTTTGTTATTAGCACATTTATTTATTTATTTTTGTTAGTATGTTTATTTATTTTATTGTTAATTACTTTATATATTAGTAATGAAGTTATTTTATTTGCAATTTTTTTTAATTTATTGTTATTTTAATTTTTTCTTAAAATTCTAATTTATTATATTTCTTTTTTGTTATATTATTTTTATTTTTTATTTCTATTTAGTTTTGTTGACTTATTTATTTTTAATTTTATTTATTGATTGACTATGTTTTATTTTTGTTAATTATTTTCTGTTTATTTCTATATATACATTTAATGATTTTTTTCTATTTATATGTTTATTATATTGTGATTTTTTTGTACATTCATTTAATAATTTTATTTTCAGAAGTTTCCTAAGTTAAGCGAGTTCCCACCATTGCCGAAGAAGCCATAAGTCTGTTAAGTGCTGCTTCTTCATCGTCTGTTTTCCTTTTCAAGAGAAATAACATTTTTAATCTCTCGTTTATATCGTTTATACTCGTTTATAATTACAAAAATTTTTGTTCTTTCATTTAATAACTTTAATTTTTTAAATAGTAATAAATATTTTTATTTATTTAAAAGAATTTTTTTATATAAAAAAAATCAGAACTATTTAGAAAAATGTAACTTATTTTTTTATACAATTTATAATATTATAATCTTTTAGAAAAAAAACATGAGCGAGAATAGATATAAAATAGGCATTTAAGTAAAAAAGACTGCCCTACTTTTATAAATTAATTATAAAGCAAATAAGTATTAAGAACCCCACAGAAAATAAATTAGTTTTGTGTCCCTATCGATTTTTCTCTTTATTAATAATAAAAACAAATGGATTTTGAATATATTACGTTTATAAGTTTATACATTCAATTGGAAGAAAACTTTTAAATTCAAAAACTTAGAGAAAAATCGACTAAAACCGAAAACTAATGTATTTTCTGGGAGCTTCTTTATTTTCATAATGATATTATACAATTTTCCAAAGATTTAAATATTAAGATTTGACTATAAAAAATATTATTATAAGTTATATTTATTACCAAATATGTATTTGTTTTTATGAACTTTATATTAAAAAAATTAAAAGGCGAGAATCTGCTACTCAGGAGCTGCTGCTCACTCTCGGAGAGTAGATTCTCGCCTTTTTAAGGCGAGCCCTGAAACACGAGCTCTAATTTCGGCCTTGAAAGCATGTAGTAGTTCTGCCTAAAATTTTTTCAGTTAAATGTCATAAAATTAAATACATTATTTTTTTGTCTTAGTCGATTTTATTGTAAAAGAAATGAATTTTGAGTTTGTACATTTCAGTTTAAAAAACTGTTAAATGAAAAAAATTGTACGAAAATCTTCTGTCTGTGACAACTAAAAGTAATGTATTTCCTGGCAGTTCTATATTTTTATTTTTAAAATTATGACATAAATTTTTTTTCCAAAGAAATAAGTATGTATTATTATGAACTTAATATTTAAAAAAAAATGTTATATTAATGTTATTCATAATAAATTATTTTTCTTTATTAATTATTTAATTATAATAATAATAATGTAAACCAATTTAAAAATGTTGTTGTAAAATAAAATTTTCATATACATTTAAATACGACAAATTTTTTTTCTAAAAAAAAAAATTACTTCAATCCTTTCTAACTCCAACCAATCCTATATTTAAAATAATTTACTTTTTTTTTATTAATAAAAAAATTATAAAATTATAAAAAAATCGAGATCAGAAAAGATTTAATTCTTACAATAAATTGTATTAGAAGTTTTTTTTTTAAATAAAATTTCCAATTGCTTCATGCTAAATTGTTTGAAGACAGTTAAGAAGTCTGAATTAAAAAAAAATTTATTTTTTAATTACTTCTTTTGTAAATAATATAATTTAATTTATTTTTTAAGTTTTTAATTTAAACAAAAAAAAATAAAAAATTTTAAATTTTCGCGCCAACCAATAAAGTGAATGCCTTCATCTGCTCCATCTTCTTTATTTTTAATTTTTAATTTGCGCTTAAGCTGTCTCATTTACATACGAAAGTGTCCTCTCTATGTTTCACATTTTTAATGCTTTAAGTTAATTCGAGATTTTCGATAGTCGATTTCCTTCAATTCGAGATTCTCGCTCATGTCTTTTTTTCTAAAGGATAACTCCAACCAATCCTATATTTAAAATAATTTACTTTTTTTTTATTAATAAAAAAATTATAAAATTATAAAAAAATCGAGATCAGAAAAGATTTAATTCTTACAATAAATTGTATTAGAAGTTTTTTTTTTAAATAAAATTTCCAATTGCTTCATGCTAAATTGTTTGAAGACAGTTAAGAAGTCTGAATTAAAAAAAAATTTATTTTTTAATTACTTCTTTTGTAAATAATATAATTTAATTTATTTTTTAAGTTTTTAATTTAAACAAAAAAAAATAAAAAATTTTAAATTTTAGCGCCAACCAATAAAGTGAATGCCTTCATCTGCTCCATCTTCTTTATTTTTAATTTTTAATTTGCGCTTAAGCTGTCTCATTTACATACGAAAGTGTCCTCTCTATGTTTCACATTTTTAATGCTTTAAGTTAATTCGAGATTTTCGATAGTCGATTTCCTTCAATTCGAGATTCTCGCTCATGTCTTTTTTTCTAAAGGACATGTGATCTATGTCAACGATTTAAACAAAATGAAAGAAAGTAGGAATATTATGAAGAATCAGATATACCAGAAGGACCAAATGATAAAATATCAATAGATCTAGTGGGACCATTAAATGAAACTACGAGCGGAAATAAATACATTTTGGTGATTCAAGATTTTTTGACTAGATATGTGCATTTGGAATCATTGAAGGACAAATCAGCAACTTTAGTCATAGAGGCTATGTGGAAAGGATATTTATAAACGAACGGAAAACCCTTAGAAATACTTACTGATAATGGAAAAGAATTTATTAATAACGAATTCTCAGATTTAATGACCGATTTAAAAATAAAACATGTAAAAACTTCAGTTTATCACCCACAAAGTAATGGAAAGAATGAAAGATCACACAAGAAGATTAACGAATATTTAAGTATTTATGCGCAAAAAGATGAATGGGATAAAGAGTTACCTAAAGCAATGTTAACATACAATATGACAATAAACAGAATTACAGGATTTTCTCCGTTTGAACCACAGAATGGCAGAAAAGCAAGAGAAGCATTTGAAACAGCAAACAAAATAACGAACCTCGTAAAGAAAAACGAATTAAAACAATTAGAACATGAAAACAAATTACATGTTGCAAGAAGAAAAATCAACGAATCTCAAAGAAAACAAATTCTGACTGATAAAAAGACAATTGCAGTCGGTGAACAAATATTGATAAGAAATCATATGAGAAAAAAAGGAGACCCTTTGTGGTTAGGACCACATGTAGTTTTGCATAAAATTAGGAATACATACACGATAGAAAATAATAGAAAGGTACATAAAGAAGATATTAAGAAATATTTTGTTTTAGATAGTGAAGAAGACGATTTGGATGACGACAACAATGGCAATTCTGATGAAGATTTTGATAATGAACCTCGTGCTGGTTGTAGCAGAAACTGATTATAATATAACGGAATTAAAAGGCAATATATATAAGGAAGAAATAGGAAAAGCGTACTTATATTCAGAGGAATGGAAATTGATGATTATGATAAATGTTACGAGAACTGAAGATAGAATAGTTGTTATTCAAAAAATATTAACACAGGTTAGTCATCTATGCGTGACTGAATGTCAAGAAAATTACGAAATTAAAACTATCGCTTCTAGATTTAGTCGTTTAAGGGAAAAAGAATCACTATTATATAACATAATGGGTAAACAAAGAGTTAAAAGAGGACTTTTAAATATAATAGGAGACGCATCAAAAATATTATTTGGGACATTAAGCGATTCAGATTTAAATATTATTAATAAAGAATTTGATCAATTATATAATGATAATAAGGTTTTAAATGAAGCAATAAAAAACAATACTAAAGTAATAAAAATGATCTTAGATTCGTCATCTCAAGATTATAAGTTCTTAGATAATAAACTTGTAGCAGACTACGATATGTTCAACCAAATGAAAGCAAAAATAAATAATAACAAAAAGAGCTTGTTTATACAGCAAAAATTATTGATAGTCGAAACTTTAATAGAAGAAATGAACGATGACATAGATTGAGCAATAAGTTTAATTAATCTAGGGAAACATGGTATTATAAATCCTCAAATTCTAACGCCTAAAATGTTGCATGAAACTATTGATGGATTTGAAAAGGAATTTAGAACTAAATATCACATCGAAAGCGATGAGAGAAACTATCAACATATTATAGACATTAGTAATATCACTACAATTATTAAAAATCATCACTTAGTATACATAATTAAAATTCCGATTTTAGATAAAGAAGAATTGGCAATAGTAAGAAATTTACCAATTCCAGAACGAATAATTAATGGTCAAGCTATGGTGTTTTTACCAAACCACGAATATATTTTACAAACGAAAACTGAATACGTACCGATTGACAAGACAGATTTAGAAAAATGTAGTACTATAGAAGACTATAAAATTTGTAAGAGAAATCAACCGAATTATTTAACGTATCAAACAGAAAATTGTGACGCGGATTTAATAAAAATGTCAAATAAGAATTGTCTAAAATCTCCTTTACTACTCAGCGATGAAACGTTTATGAAAACAGAAATAGGTTATATATGTATATTTGTAAAAGAGACAGTTATAGATATAGTGTGCGAAAATAATAATTATAATGGTAAAAAATTGGGTACTTTTCTAATAACAGGGAATAGATGTAAGCTATATACAAATGAAATAAAACTAGATCCTAATAAATCGATAAGAAATATAACTAAATATTTCGAGGACACAATCACAATAGAATTAGATTTTGAGAAAGATGACTTAAAATGAATTAACGATAAATTACCAAAATTACCAAGATTTCTTAATTTAGATAGAATAGAAGAAGCGAAAATTAGTATGGAAGATACTGAAATGATGTTAGATAAAATAAAAACACATGAAAGATTTAAGAGTTGGACAGAAAAGTCTTTGACGTATTTAGAGTACACCGTCCGACACGATTTTTCACACACAAAAAAATCAAACATTTTTGGAAACTAGGACCAAAAAAAAATACCCGTGTCTGGCCGTTTTGCTGGATCAAGTCGTTTGTGGCTTCTAGGGGTGAAAACAACCCTTAAATGAAAAGTGACAAGTAATAATTTAAAAATAGATTCAATTTGCCTAAAACTCGTTACTCGGGGGTTTTTGGGGTCGCAGATCACGAATCCGATGTCGGTTTTTTAAAATTAAAAATGGCGGATCCAATATGGCGGCTGTCAAAATAAAAAATTGATCGGATTTGCTTGAAACTTGTTACTCGGAAGTTTTTGGGGTCGCTGATCACGAATCCGATGTCAGTTTTTCAAAATTCAAAATGGAGGATCCAATATGGCGAAAATATTTTTTAAAAAATGATTTAATTTGCCTGAAACTCGTTGCCAGGGGGTTTTTGGGGTCGCTGATTACGAATCTCATGTCAGTTTTTCAAAATTCAAAATGGCGGATCCAATATGGCGGACATCTTTTTTAAAAAATGATTTAATTTGCCTGAAACTCGTTGCTTGGGGGTTTTTGGGGTCGCTGATTACGAATATGATATTAGATTTTTGAAATTCAAAGTGGCGGATCCAATATGACTGACAACTTTTTGAAAAATAGATTCAATTTCCCTGAAACTCGTTACTCAGGGGGTTTTGGGGTCGTTGATTACGTATCTTAAGTCAGATTTTAAAAATCCAAAATGGCGGATCTTATAAAGATGAAGATTACAAAAAATTTCAATATTTTTACAAATGTGTCTTTGCATATTGGACATTTTTTTAATGACAAAGCAAACTTTGTGGTAAGTAAATTTATTCGATAATAGGAAGCGTAAGTAAGATGAATTATTAAATATAAAGTGATTGTTTAACAATGCTTCTAAAGTGAAAATATCAACTATTGACATTTATTTAAAAATCGTATAAAATCAATTAAGAATATTTAATTGCAAAAAACAAAAAAGAATCACACAATTAAATTTTCCAGTTTCATTCTAGATCTGTAATCTACATTTTGATCCTACATTTTTAATTTTGAAAATCTGCCTTAAGATTCTTAATCAGCGATCCCAAAAACCCCCTGAATAACAAGTTTCAGGGAAATTAAATCTATTTTTAAAAATGTTGACAGCCATATTGGATCCGACATTCTGAATTTTGAAAAACTGACATCGGATTCGTGATTTGCGACCCCAAAAACCCCCGAGTAACAAGTTTCAAGCGAATCCGATCAATTTTTTATTTTGACAGCCGCCATATTGGATCCGCCATTTAAAATTTTAAAAAACCGACATCGGATTCGTGATTAGCGACCCCAAAAACCCCCGAGTAACAAGTTTCAAGCGAATCCGATCAATTTTTTATTTTGACAGCCGCCATATTGGATCCGCCATTTAAAATTTAAAAAAAACCGACATCGGATTCGTGATCAGCGACCCCAAAAACTCCCGAGTAACAAGTTTCAAGCGAATCCGATCAATTTTTTAAAAAACCGACATCGGATTCGTGATCTGCGACCTCAAAAACCCCTGAGTAACGAGTTTTAGGCAAATTGAATCTATTTTTATAATATAACTTGTCACTTTTCATTTAAGGGTTGTTTTCACCCCTAAAAGCCACAAACGACTTGATCCAGCAAAACGGCCAAACACGGGTATTTTTTTTTGTCCTAGTTTCCGAAAATGTTTGATTTTTTTGTGTGTGAAAAAAAAGTTAAATTTTGTCGGACGGTGGTATATAGGATATGCAAGTATTGTAATTATAATCTTCTATATAATGTTTAAAACGGGAATTATACAGTGTATTTTAAATTTGATAAGATATTGTATTGGGAATTGTTACACAAATTGTAGTTTCAATAATACAGGTCCAACTCTGCATCTAGCTATTGAGAAAAATCTGCAAGGATTAAATTTTGAATTATATTCGAAACCTTCTAGAAGGAAACCTGCATCGAATTTTGAAATAAATGTTAATTTAAAAATCATCGACAATTTAAAGGGGGGAGGTGTCGACAGTATGAAGTATGAGTGTGTATTGTAAAGAGTGGGGACGAGTTCACAGTCCTTAAAAACTAAAGCATAAGCAGGTGTGGTTAGATTAATTAGTCGCTACTCAAAGTGATAGCACGTTTGTCTTCCAATAAGGCTCAGTGAAGAATTGGAAGGATTGATTACACAGCCACACAAAAAAAATAAAGTGTCTTGATCTGGGGTCAAGACATATGTATTCCGATGCGCTGAATCCGAATCCGCCATCAGAATTTGGCCAATCAGAATAAGGCTCAGTGAAGAATTGGAAGGATTGATTACACAGCCACACAAAAAAAATAAAGTGTCTTGATCTGGGGTCAAGACATATGTATTCCGATGCGCTGAATCCGAATCCGCCATCAGAATTTGGCCAATTTGGTCCTGGTTTCGCCCTAACCTCAAAAAATACCCTAATATCGTTAAAATGGTTACTTTTGAATTATCAAAATTGAATCTAACCGCATATTGATAATTTTTTAAGATCCCTTAATTTAAATAAACTATTCTATAAGCTTTTCAATTAAAAAATTCATATAAAACATTAAATCTATCGAACCTAACCTCAAAAACACATCTAAGATTCCAAACAAACAAATTATACCATACACAGCGCAATAAAAAAAAGGTAAACTCATGAAAGTTGCAACTTAGCTGTTTTTATGACTGCTGATTACAAAGCCGGTGTTAGTTTATCAAAATTCAAAATTGTGGATCCAATATGGCAAACAATATAAATAAAATTTGTTTGGATTGGCATAAAAATCGTTACTCGGGGGTTTTCGGAGTCGCTGATGACGAATCCCATGTCGGTTTCTAAAAATTAAAAATGGCGGATCCAATATGGCGGTCTTTATTATTTTAACGATTTTTTTAAATTTATTACTCGCGGTTTTTCGGGACCTTTGATAACGAATCCTATATCAGTTTTTATAATCTTAAAGTCTTACGAATTGTTATCTAACAATTTTTTCTAACTTAAGATTTTAAGGCTTTAAGATTATAAAAATTTATATACAATTCGTGATCAAAGGTCCCGAAAAACCGCGAGTAATAAAGTAAGATTATAAAAATTTATATACGATTCGTTATCAAAGGTCCCAAAAAACCGTGAGTAATAAATATAAAAAAATCGGTCTTTGTTAAAATAACAAAGACCGCCATATTGGATCTACCATTTTGAATTTTTAGAAACCGACATGGGATTCGTCATCAGCGACCCCGAAAACCACCAAGTAACGATTTTCGATCCAATCCAAACAAATTTTTAATTATATTGTCCGCCATATTGGATCCGCAATTTTGAATTTTGATAAATTAACACCGGCTTTGTAATTTTTTTTGTGTGGCTGTGTTATCTCCAAGTTTTTGTACTTTTACTTGTTAAATAAATAACGTAAAGTTGGCTCT